CGCTGTACAAAAGATCCGACTTCCAAAACAAAGAAGCTCTTTTCTTTCTAGGACTTTGTTCATATTATAGGTCCTTTATAAAAGATTTTGCGGCTATCGCTGAGCCATTGTTAAAATTAAAAAGGAAAAAGGCAAGATTCTCGTGGACGGCCGAAGCCAATAGTGCTTTCGAAAAATTAAAACAAGCATTAACGCAAGCCCCTGTGTTGAAATTTCCTGAAAAGGATGAAAATTTAGAAATTTCAGCGGATGCTTCGGATTATGCGGTAGGAGCGGTACTTTCGCAAAATCAGCAGCCAGTAGCATTTTTTAGCCGAACTTTAAATCAAACACAAAGAAACGATTCCGCGACCGAGAGAGAGGCACTTGCAGTTCTGTTAGCAGTGCAAAAGTTCCGAGTCTATTTTGGAAAGGCGCCGATAACAGTATATTCTGATCATGCGGCGGTAACTAGATTGTACTCTGGAAAAATTTATCCCCAAGGTTAATAAGATGGGCACTCAAGCTGCAAGAATATAATCTGGTAATCAAGCATACCCCCGGAAAGGAAATATCGTAGCAGATGCCCTGTCACGAATTAAATTGACGAACAGGGTAATACCGTAAAAGTTGCAATGCTGACAGCGTGTACAATAAATTCCCGAGAAACTGTAATAACCGAACTGGGTAAGGATCCTGAGTTTGGAAGTATTTATGAGTATTTGAAGGATCCTGAAAATTTTAGCCACCAAGATATTGTGGCGATAAGAAATAGGGCGGCCCATTACGAACTAATAGATGGTCTATTATTTTATACAAAAACTACGAATTCCAACAACGAATTTCGACCTGTTATCCCAGCTAGTCTTAGATTAAATATCCTGCAAGAGCTCCATGACTGCCCTTTAGCTTCTCATGCTGGTATTCGAAAACTACTCAACGCGTACGCGAGGCAGTCTACTTTCCTGAACTGCAAAATTAACAAGGGCGTATGTCCAGTCCTGCCCAACATGTCAAGCCGTTAATTATATTAATTTCCGCCCGGCCGGGTTTCTAAATAGTATTAAATCCGAATTTCCAAATGAAATAATCGGCATCGATTTATTGGGCTCTTTCCCAAAAAGTCAGTTAAACAAATGTCGCTATCTCCTTGTTATAGTTGATCATTTTAGTAAATGGACCGAAATTGTTCCCTTAAAACGAGCCTCCGCGAAATTAGTTACCGATTCTATTTTAAATAAATATATTTTAAAATACGGGCGCCCCTAAAAGTTATATCGGATAATGGTCCTCAATTTGTAAGTATATATTTGAAGACATGTGCCAAAAAACTGGGCATACGTCATTTAAAAATGGTCCCGTATCGGCCGCAATCAAATATAGCGGAACGGGTCAACAGAAATATAGTGAAAATTATCCGTAGTTATGTTAAAAATTTTCATAAAAGCTGGGATAACTATGTCAATGAATTGCTTTCGCCCTTAGGACCGCAAAAACATGATACAACGGGCAAAACTCCTGCTGAGTTATTTCTAGGCAGAAAGGTTTATAACACCGTTAGATAAACTATTTTATGTGCAACAAAGAGCCCCAGAATTTAAAATGGGTGATATAGAAAAACTAATAAAAGAAGCAAAAAAGAATACGGAAGTAGCACAAAGAAAACAAAAATTGTATTATGACTTGAAACGACGGGGAGTAACTTATAAAGTAGGGGATGAAGTACTAAAAATTAAGCATTCACTTTCTTCAGCACCAGAAGATAAAACTGCCAAATTTTTTCCACGCTTTGAAGGACCATATGTTATAGAAAAAATAACTCACGCTGTTGTAGTGTTAAAGGCAAGAAATGGTGAAACCTGTTCCGCAAACATTGACCAGATAAAACCATTCTATGACCGTAATAAAATGCAAATCTTTTCAGATCTTTTGCAGGATCCGGTACGGCAGACACCGCAGGTACAAGTTCCAGAGGTGGGAAAACGACAAGTACAAGGGCAAGCCAATGAGAGACAGAAGCAAGTGAAAAGACAATTGCCCCGCGGAAAAATTGAAGGTACAAAGAAAAAGAAGCCGTTCCACCGTCCAAAAAACAGAGTTCACGAACACCCCCAGAATGAAGAAGGGAGAAGGACGACGTATGTGGAAAAGACCGGGAGAAAGGACGGCAACTATAACCCGGCTGTGAAACGGAAGATTGACTCATCCGACAGAACTCTCCGCAGCAAAAGTCGCCGAACTGCGGAAGGGCCATCAGCGGCGGAGGAAAAAGTACAAGAAAAATTTGAACGGCCAACAACGAGGTCCAAGCAGGATCACGACAGAAGTTTCCCGGTTCCACCAAGACCAGCTGCCTTCAAACGGCCAAGACCACAAGCAGAGGACAGAAGGAAGATGTTCAAGGGTGGCCGTAGTGGTGAAAAACGGAAGCTTCCAGAGGAAAGCACTGAAGGGCGAGCCCGTACAAGAAGGAGGATCAACCAAGCTACGGTCTGCAGCACCTTTAAAGACTGGGCCCAGAAAAGGATGTCGAATATTACAAAGATAAGTAAAAATTTTATGTTACTTTACAAACTTAAGTTAATCTTTCATTCTTACTGCAAGTGGCAGATTTCAAAGAAGTTTTACCTCATGCGAGGTCTACCTTTATCGCCAAAAGGGCGAGAAATGAGTTGTGACCGATTTTCTTATTATGTTTTTCAATTACTCGCGCGTAAAACTAAAGTTGATGTATAATAGCGTTGTATAAAGACTTAAATATTGTAAAAAGTTATTGTATAAATTTTATTTAAAAACATTCTAACAAGAAAAGAAGTTTTAGTCTGAAAGACTTTTTGAAATGTAGTATTATTTCAATGTAGAAAAGAATTGGCACTTGCTTTGAAAAGAATAGAAGTTAACAATGTACTACTAATGTATGTTTTCAAATGTGTAAAATTAACGGCATCTTGATATGTTCTTGTATACATGTGAACTGTTATTTTGAATGTTTAGAAATAACGTGATATGGTAAAAGTGAAAGTAATGTTCAAAAAATTTGTTATTCGTGTGACTGTAAGATTAAATCATGGTGAATATGTGTTTAAAGGTTGAATGATGTAGTTAGGCTCTCTGACGCTACACTTTAGAGTTAGCCACTTTCAGAATAGTACCCAGGGTCTAGAGTTGAAATTAGGGTGTGTTAAGAGGTCTCGTATGTTGAATTTTAACACGTTAGTGTTTTGATTGTAGGAGGAAGTGTTGAACACATAGACAGAAACACATTCGTGTTTGGTGTTTTTACAACACATGTCAGAGAGCACGGGGAGAGTTATATAAAATAGTCATGAATGAAATAAGAATGTTAAGAAAAGTATATTCTATATGTTATTTGCAATGTCATTCTGTAACATTTCATTAAACTAGTTTTCCTTCCAGATCTCTGGAAGGAACCAGAATTGAATAAGCTCCTGTTTAGATGCAGTTACAGATGAAAAAGAAAAAAGATTGTTGTATATTCCGGGAGCTGCTATTGTAACAAATTTCTTTCTTTTAAAATTTTTCTAGTTTTCTAGCTAAGTTATGATCGTAAAAGTTTGGCCTCGCGTTAGTTTCTAGAGCTAAAAAAGTTTTCAACAAGGTCGTTTTAGACCTCAGTTTCAAACTAATTAACTCTGGCGGGAAGTATGTAAGGATCTTAGTTTTACTAACGTTTATTTTATTTTAAATTTACTATCACTTCTTATTTTCTACTTCCGGCCAGAATTATAAGCGTGAAGGAGTTTATGCAAAGTTGTCTGGCGAACGCCAAGTATTTAAGTGTGGCCTTTTTGCCAAGCAGAAGAGAGGAGCCGTGAGTTCGAAGCAGGCCGCTTACCTTTGAAGTTACGCAGTTGCTACTTTGCCTTCCAGGCCAGAGGTTTTAATCCTCTTGATAAATTAAACGTATTGTAGTGTTCACAGTCTCTGTGTACATACGCTTTCTGTTATTATAAGGCCAATCGTATTCTAAAGTTAAATTAGAGTTTAGTTTTATTTGATATCTTTTAAGTTAGACCCCCGAGTGGAGGGTCATTGTATTCCGAAGTACGGAAGTCATTGTATATAAAGAAAAAAAAAATAAAGGGTTTTGTATAACCCTTCGTCTGTATCCTGTCTACTTACTACAATTAGTGAACATAGCTTTAGTAAGCTCTCTGTTCTAGTCAGGTCATTGTATGTTTCCGAAGAAGGTTAGAAGAAACATTGAACCTGATACTTTAAGCTTTTCATCTAATGTTTAGCAGATCAAGCGAGAGTCAAATGAGTATTTCTACTAAATTTCTAGAGTTTCTGAATTTCAAAAATATTTGTCTAAAAGTTTAATGATACTCATGTTACTACTCTATAGATCTGCCTATCTATCCACTAAGACTACTATAGCATAGAAAAACAGAACTTGTTTCAATTTAATCACAAATAAAATTATTCATTAGCATGCTCATCTAAGATCATAAATAACCATGGCATTAATAATTCTTGAAGTGATGTGAAATTTATTCAAAAGTAATTAAAATTACAACCTGCTGATTTTGGTATGCCGTCACTGTGATGAACTGAGTTTCTGCAAAAGTAAATGTTAGAGCTAATGAGCTGTTGACTTCCAGGTATGGATTTTCCCTGGCTCCCATTGCTTTCTGGATATGAATTCGAGGCTGGTATTTGTGCATTGACCGGAGAGGTACCTAAAAAAGGGACAAAATCAAAATGACCTGATAACATAAATAACGATACAGGAGAAAGTAACAAAGCACATTCAAAGTTTTCAACATACATACTTTAGTAAAAACTATAAACTTTATTATTATTTTTATATTTTTTCTCTTAAAAGCAAACAAGTATTAAGGCCTGAGCTCAGAATAAGTTGCCATGATAATGTTACCGTTAAAAAAAAAAAAAAAAAAAAAAAAAAAAAATCTGAAAAACAGCAATTTCTGTTCACCATAAAAAACATGTGTGGTGCTGGAAGGGGGTTTTGCGTGACTGTTATGCTGCTGATGTGTGGAGAAAAAGAGAATTTCCGAAATATAATTTTGTGTAAGTCATAAACTAGACTTTTCAGGACATAATAATCTTTTACCTATTTTGAAATATTCTAGAAACAGCAAAGCCTTTATTTTAATTGATTGAACAATTTGTCGAAGTAAAGTAACTATATTCACCTGTAAATTTACCATGGGTTTGAAATATCAGTTAAAATTATCATGAAAAATTATATTTGCAGCATTTCAAAACATTCTTGAAAGAGAGTTATATGAAATTAAATTTTTCCTTAATATAAAATATATTTAGTTACTGGCTAATAAAACAATAGTCCGAGCTCAAACCTCGTAGGGTAAAATTTTTAATTAGAATTGTTGCAACGGTAAATCTAATAATTCTGCTACACCTTTATTAATTTCATTAAAAACAATTCAAAACTACTCCGTAAACATTTATAATAAAATCAATTCAACATACAGTACTCATATACATAATATGCTGGAACACAGAAACAATAGAATAACTTTCGTATGATCCCAAACCGTTAATCTAAATCATTAGCAGCAGTTTTTCTCGCAAAAGTAGTGGTACAAATAAAATTCAAAATACTTGTTTCTCATAAGGTAACTAAAATTCAAATCTTCGCACTTTCATATTTCAAAACCAGGAAATCGTTAAGTGGTGAAATACTCACAGAATCAATAATGATGCCTAAAAATTAAAAATATACTTTATATCAAGCAACTAAGAACTCACCAGATTATTAAAATGACAGATTCAACAGTTCTACGTCCACTTTGATATGCAAATTGTTAATTGTGATAAATATTCTTGCAGAGACATTAGGTATTTTGGAAGCAGGAGAATGAAAAATGAGCAACGCCTTAGCCGGGAATCGAACCACGGACCTATGGAATACGCGCCCAGTGTGCAGACCACCAGACCACGAAGACATGCCAAGAAGGTGGGAGAAATATTTTATAAACTCCCCCTTTTAAAGGGCGACTGGGGTTTTAGGGGACCCAGTAGCCAAATCGTGGGTGTGGAGAATCATCATCCACAACCCTTTTAGTTCGGGCGCCAGTGTAGAGACATTAGGTGGTTTTGGGAGCAGGAAAGATGAAAGATGAGCAACGCCTTCGCCGGGAATCGAACCGCGGACCTCTGTAATACGCGCCCAGCGTGCAGACAACCACACCACGAAGGCATGCTAAGAAGGCGGGAGAAATACCTTATATTCTAACTGTGTGGAGACATTAGGTATTTTTTGGAAGCAAAAGTGATGAAAAATGAGCAACGCCGTCGCCGGGAATCGAACCACGGACCTCTGGAATACGCGCCCAGCGTGTATTCCAGAGCCCAGCGTGTATTACACTACGAAGGCATTATAAAGAAAGCGGGAGAAATACCTTATATACTCCCAATTATAAAGGACGAATGGGGTTTTTAGGGGACTCAATCGCCAAATCCTGGGTGTGGAGAATCATCATCCACCACCGTTTTAGTTCGGGCTAGGTTATTTTTAAAGGAGAAGTGATGAAAAATGAGCAACGCTCTCGGCTAGAATCGAACCACGGACCTCTGGAATACGCGCCCAGCGTGCAGGCCACTACACTACGGAGGCATGCTAAGAAGGTGGGAGAAATACCTTATAACTGCTAAGATGTATTCAAGTAAATTATCATAATCGTATTATTTATTGTATGAAGTTTATCATATAATTTACCATATGACCTACTAAATTGAGGCTTCCAGTATGGTAGTTAAAAACAAGTGAAATTTTATACCTGTAAAACTGAAGTGGGATTTTTGCAATTCGTGAGCTTAAGTTTATCAAATGTGATCGGTTGTGACATCCAGTGTCTGCCAGAAGCAGGGCTGTCAGGATGTACATATGCTGGACTTCCAAGCACATCTCCTTCCATTGCAGCAACGGTCCATTTTGAGCTGAATATCCCATAAATTAAAAAAAAAAAAAACCTGTTATAAGTAATGGGATATATATGCTAAAATAAATCCATCAAGTTTGATCTTTTTAAAATATAATACATAGTTTCAGAAACATACAAGAGATGAAAAGATATCGAGTCACACAGGTATCGTATTTAGAGATGTTAAACTTAGAATGCCCTGTTATTAGTGACATTTCTGAAGTGGTGGTACTGGTAGGCAAAAGCATGAAAGCGCGTTTAGAGTTTGGCGTCGGAGAGCAACGATAGAAAAATATTTCGAATTAGTGGGGCTAGAGAAGAGGAAATATGAGCCGTAATAAAAAAGTGAAGAGTCTATGAGAATCTACGGAAAAACAAGCACGTTTACCAGTTAAAATCAAGAAGTCAGAGATGCAAAGGGAGGTATACTGTTGCATGACAAAACTCGTCTCGGTACCGATAAACTGAGAGTTGATCTTCTGAAGAAATTTTGTTGGGAACCACTGAAATATTACCCTTGTAATCTTGATTTGCACTGCGGAATGATTAAAGAAAGTCGCCTATCCTGCTTTGATCTGGCCCATCAAAAAAATACTTACCTGTGTGGAATCCCTTTCGAGCCGGACCAAGAGAAAACTCAAGAGACCAAACCAACTCAGAGAAAAGTTCAGAGCTAATTCTATACGTCACATACAAGACTTTTACTTGATATAAATTAAAAGCGTTAGTTGCACACCGGAATAAAGAACTTTGATAACTGTGGAAAGCATTTTTGAATATTAAAAGATCCGCACAACTCGATATCTTTCCATGTGAATATTTCTTATACAAAGCACGAAATTAAATTCAAATGGTAAAAAACAGTCGTTTTGGGTGCAACGGTTATTTTTTTATTGTGAGTTGAAGCTGCATGCTTACACGGCTATATACCGACTTCAAAGGCTGCTCAAATGAAGTTGCTTCTTGCAGACATAACCGACTGTTGGACATATATAGTAATATAACTGTTCCACACATAACTGCCTGTTGGACATAGTAATATAACTGTTCCACACATAACTGACTGTTGGACATACATAACGGACTGTACATTGCTCGCATAACCGACTGTTGGACATGTAATATATGAAACATTCAAAATGGTATGCGGTTCTTTGGTCTTGTGTAGAAATGATTTTATGTCCTGCAACTACAATGAAGATAACATTGCTCAAAGTAATCCCCCTCAGCCCTTTTTGCTTAATACAACATAACTGTTAAACCGAAAGAATTAATCTCTGAACGTAGAGATATTTGAACTTAATATTTAGAATTTGTAAAACTTGTGGTATTTCAACAGACTTCGATAGCACCGAGAAACATTTGATCAGAAAAATTAAAGGATCAAATATTTAAAACATCATCAGGGATCTTTTGTGTATTATATATGTACCTAAATACAGAGATCTACTTTCCTTTGTCATTTAGATACATCTACTTTCGTAAGACTGAAATAAATTACATGTATAGTTTCATCTGTGTTTATAAATACAGATTTTTGATATCGTTCACGGATTCGAATTTTTAAAATATGTTCAATATTAAACATTTTAACTACTTCAAGCGGAATTAGATTTGTTTGCAACAGAAAAGCATATCAGGATTCTGCTTGAGCGATAAGCGCTTTACATTGAGGCTTGTTGAAAGACTTTAACTTATTGAAAGACTTTAACTTCTACGTACTTGCATTTCAAAATACATACTGGAATACTTTACACAGCTAAATGTTTTGCTTAGGAATAGATTCTGAATAATACCTATGTTAAGGACTTTCGTCCTCAAACGAGTGTCGGCAGTTTCTTAAGTGATAAGATTTTATTTTAAAAGTGTTCTCTTCTCCTTTAATGAATGAAGATAATGTAAAATTATTTGATGAAATTTAATTATGAACTTTTACTTAAGCTTCTCACATGCACACACATACAGACAAAGTACTTAAAAATATTGAATTATTTTTACATGAAAACATTTTTAATAAAAGCAGAATAACCGTTAATGAAACTTTTCAGAAAATATAAAAGTACTGTATCATTAATATTGTTACGAATTTGGTATTTAAAAAGCTAATGTTAGTTCAATTATAAATTAAATGGTTTTATTTCTCGCGCAGTGCAGCGCGTGACGAATATTAAAAGAAAGCTAAGCCGGAAAATTGAAAATACAAGAGCGCGTGCATTAAATAAATAAATATCCTCTTTTTGATTTCGAGAAAGTACTGGAAAATTCTAGCGCGTGATTTTAAAATCTTATAAAGGAGGAAAACATCTCAGTTTAGTAGTTTGCTTAGTTTGTTGTTGTTTAGAAACTACTGTTGTTGATTGTAGCAAATTCGCGGATTAGCGTTCTTTAGCTTTTTGAATTACGTTCTATTGGACATTTGAGTATTAAAAGAAAACTACTGTGAGATATTGTAATACTGCATGATAATTTGAGAAAATTTAAGCATTTTTGTTGTGATAATAATAAATTTTTTGTTCATTTTTCATCGGACTTGTGCATTCATTTCATAACGAACCCGTACGCCACACACAATTTTGGTGTCAGGAGTGGGGTTTGAATGCCAATAACAAGAGCGATGGAAGAACAATTGAGACAGCTCATTAGTGCTTTTGCTGCATTCCAAGAAAAGATGGAAGCTGGCCAAGCATCATTTAAGAAGAAATGAATTGGGCCAGGAATCCGTTAAGGAAGAAAATGAAATTGGGCCAGGAATCCGTTAAGGAAGAAATGAAATTGGGCCAGGATCCGTTAAGGACGAAATGAAAGCCGTTTCAAGCTGGTCAAGAAGAAATAAAAGAGAAATTACTTGCATAATAGAAAAATAATTTGAAGCTATGGAAGGCAGAATTGACGCAGTTGAAAATAAAGTTGGACATATTGAAGAAAGAGTTTCTTCGGGTGAAAGAAGAAATAGAAGAAAGAGTTTCTTCTGTAAAAGAACAAATTGATGAGAGAGTTTCTGCAGTTGCCAAAGAAATGGATACTTTAAAGAAATTCGTAGCGTCGGCAGGGGAGCAGGAGTGATGATTTTAAATTCTTACCAATGCCTGCTCGTCCACCTCTGAAGCTATCCACATATGATGGGAAGACCTCCTGGCAGGTGTATAAGACACACAATTTTCTATCGTGGCGGATGCGAATGGATGGATTCCCAAGCTAAGGCCTGTCATCTCTCGCCGCTTCTCTAAGAGCCGACGCAAGCGGATATCCTTCAGACTCTTCCCGAAAACAAAGGTTAGATTTCGAAGCTCTGTCCGGCGCCTTGGAGTTGCGCTTTGGGGAGAAGTGTTTTAAAAGACTACAGCAGGCTCCAATTAAAATCTCGTCAACAGAAGCCTACCGAAACACTTCAGGAGCTCGCCGCGGATGTTGAAAGGCTGTCCCATCTCGCCTTTTCGGAATGCCCGACAGAAACAAGGGAAATCCTGTCCTTGCAATACTTTATCGACGGCATCCGAGATACTGAAATACAGAAAGCTCTACGAATGGCGGATATAAAAGATTTAAAAAGTGCTCTAGTGTACGCCATGAAATTTGAGGCAGCCCAGCAAGCCACTCGTCGAGACCGCCACCCAGTCAGAGCTGCTCAAGTCCAGGAGCCAGGGGATCAAGTCACCGCTCGACTTGACGATTTAACTAGACAACTGAACGCCTTGAGACGGAATATTGGTGAGAAGAAACCGACCGTTAGTGCTGGAACTGCGGTGCTGAAGGACACATACGACGAAACTGCAAAAACACCCCAGGGTACTGATGTTAAGACCGCTTCTAACAGCAGCAAGAAACTAATTAGTGGCCATCTCGCGGGGCGGAGGTTGCCAGATAATGAAAAGCCCCCGTTTAAAAAAGCGCTTCAGATTTCTGCAGTGAGAGGCGGCAGTAATGGACTTTTCATAATAGGACATATTAATGGAGTTCCGTGCAATATGACTATAGATACAGGAGCCAACGTCACCATCATCCGAAAAGATTTGGCTCAACAACTAGGAAACAAACTTATCTGGACGCCGCCCTGCGTTACCCTCCAGACTGTGTCCGGTGAGAAGATCGACATCGAGACGGAAAAGTAAACTTTAACATCACGTTTGGAAGTGCCGCTTATCATCACACAGCATATGTAGCAAAGATTCACTGATAGTCTTGCATACTCGGATTGGACTTTCTAAGGAAATACAATTTTTCCTTGGGATTTTAAAAATAACGAATTGCATTCTGACATCTGAGGACATAGCGTTATTTCTCGTGAATGATGAAGCCCTATTTAGTTATCTGAATCTGAGCCCATTTATTTATTAATCATGAGGCTCTATAGCCCTATTTGGAATTAATAATGAAGGAGTTTAATCTAGCCACAAGAATCATAGCTTTTATTTTCCACCTGGATCAATAGCCGAAAATAGAAATTTTCGCGCTACGGCATCATAGAATAATCCCAATAACTGTAATAATCCTCAAAAGGAGTATTAGTAGCCTCAACACTCGTCCGACCTATCCAGAGGACCGGTTATCCCGGTGAGAGTTCGCCAATGTAACTGAAAAGTCGAGAGTTATTACGAAACAGCGTTGAAGCGGGGTCTTGCAACATGTACTCTAGTAACCTAGCGTTGAAAGAAAGAGTAACATCCCAGAATCCGTGTCTTTCAGAGAGCATTACCTCGGAGTTATTGCTGAATGCACAATTAAACGATGAAGAGAAAGGAATTGCTGCCGATCGCGTCATTAAAGATCTTCAAGTTGTTTTCTCCCGCTCGTCTTCTGACGTGGGTCGAACCTAGTTTGACGCGACATATACAATAGATACCGGTGATCATCCACCAATCCAGCAACATCCAAGACGTCTACCGATTGCTAAACAGGAAGAGGTGCGAACACGTTTTAAAAGGATATGGAAGAAGGCGATGTCATCGAAGCCTTCAGCGAGTCCATGGGCCATCTCCCATCGTTCTCGTCAGAAAAAGAAAGACGGCTCAACAAGAT